TTTGTGACATAATGTACCTTGTGTGTGTGAAGTTTGAACTCGATCAATCCAGGCATGTCTTAGATACGGATCCAGAACTGAATTTATTAAAACAAAATGGCCGCCAGTCGGCCATTTCAAACCTGATCCCAAAAAAAAATGACGTGCATCAAGGTCCTATTATGTTTAATGTATGTACCAAATTTGAACAAAATTTGAACAAAATCTGTTCATGCATAACTGAGATCCGGGTCCGGAATGGTGAAAAAATGCGATTTTGATGCATTTTCGGCCTTAAAATGGCCGCTATTCGGCTATCGTTAATCGGATCATGAAAAAAATGCATGTGCATATGTCCCATATAATGTGTGATGTATGAGTGAAGTTTGAACTTAATCGGTCCATGCATGTTCGAGATACAGGTGATCATGGACGCACGGACGCACACAGGGCAAAACATAAGTCCCCGTTTTCGGACTACGTTCGAACGGGGACTAACAAGTCATGTTATGACGTGACAGAGCCATCCTTGGTCATTGACGTTGCAGGTCGGTGTTCTTTCAACACCGATCTGACGCATATCACGCAAGTTGTACCAGGATTTTGCTCGAAAGGTCAAACGTTTCGAAGTCAATCATCAAATGGCACGTATTTTACGGATATATTGGTACAACTTGCAAATATTGTAAGGACAAATTGGCCCCAAAATTGCACAAATTTGAAACGAGTTTACGACTGCTCGTGTCTGGTTCGGAAGGAGTTCTACGCGTGATTTTATCGCGTTCAAGGACGTTCTATTTTCGAACTAGTTGAAACCGGGAATTGCGCAAGTACTTTTGAACTTCAAACACAAATTTTATTATCGTTATCATGTCTTAGTTTCTGTTATTTCCAATATTGAATTATTTATGACATTAATATTTCACTCACTAAACAATATTTTACTAAAATATGTGATTAAAAATCAAGTTAAATTGGAATTTTTTTTATCAAGTTTCGTGTATAAACACTAGTGCCAAAATTGGCTAGTAAGGCATCATGACACAGGTCTGTGCTGGGGCAGCGCTTCCTGTGACGACACAATAGTAAACAAAACTGAATTGAGTCAGCCATGTTTATTCATAACATGAAACAATTAAATCCAATGTGAAAAACAAGATGGCGTGCATCCACAAGTTCCTTTTTCCAAACAGCATCTCAGAGAACATGTGAGAACATTTAAGATTACATAAATCATATTTGTAAAAATTGATAAATATTGCTGACTTACCTCTCGTAGACATTTATCTAGTTGTCCTATGATATAAGATGGAGTTGTTTGTAATAACATTTTACCAGTATACACACTCATTGGAAACATTGTACCACATGTCATGAAAGCTATAATAATTGCGGCTAAAGTGTCAGCAATGAAATAATTACTGAAAGAAGAAAACATTGATTTATTGACTTTTACACTAATCATCAGCAATAATTCCACATGTCTATTGGCAGGTTGTGTTCAAGTTTTTCTCAAATTTATTTTATGACCACAAAACATGACAAAACACAAAATGGCAACAGAATGTAATAGTCATTCACCAATGGATAAAATATTGGCAATTCTTGAGGACATACTTGACTAATGGCTCAACACTTGTATTAAAATATCACAGATTTCAAGAAAAATGCAATGAATTCTATGACTGCCACAACTAGCATATAACTAGCCTGAGTAACTCTAATGCAGTCAATGTGGTTTACAATACTTACTTGATTTCTATAAGTAAATGAGTTGCAAAAACAGATAATCCTCCAGCAAATCCTATTAATGCTAATGGATTAACACGTGGTAATAATAATTTATCTAAACCAGGAACCACACTGCACATACTGAAATATACAACATAAAAATCAGATGCGCTTTAATATACATGTTGATATATTGGTATGAGCATGGAGCTCCATGGTATGACAGATATGTAGATGCAGTAAAAATTGATGTACATGCATACTTGTACATCTATTAATGATTAGGAAAGGCATAGGTTATAGTCTTAGACGTGTATCTATGGTCAAAATAACAATCTAGCATACATTATGTGCACTTCTATTTCGCCTTTAATGGAGCAAAATATTGTGAATCATGAAGCATTAGAAGCTGTTAGTGTTAAAGGAGCAGTGTAAAACTGTGTTCAAAGCTTACAGATAAGTGAAGATGTTGTGTACACCAGAACAAAATCATATATATACTACATCTACAATACAATACTCAAATGCTTTCAGAAAAATCATGTGAATAAACAAAATGATTATCTACCTTCTGCTTATGTCAGCAAAATGTTCTTGAAGCCAATTAGAGCTGGCTGCAGAGATCACATGATCAAACGCTTTATTATTTACAGCATAAGTGACTATCATGTGGAATAGAAAGCCAACAGCGCCACCTAGGAGTAGCCGACCAGTATGCACATCTGGCTGTTGTAATAATCTTTCAGTACTAAAATAATATAAAATTACAATCAAAGTCATTTGAACTGCATGAAAGGACTTTCTAGGACAGGTTAAAAAAAAATATCACCAACCTGGTACCCAGCTCACCAAGTTTGATTAAAATTAGTTCAGCCATCTTTGAAAATTTAGGGTTAGGATTTTACATCTTAAATGGCCACCATATGAGGCCATTTTTTTTCCCAAATCCAATAAAAAGCAGCTCATTAGTTGAAATATGACATTTGTGAAAAAATTGGATTGAAAATATCATCACAAAATCAAATCTGAAAAGAATCCACTCAAATCAGTTTTCAAAAAAAGTGAAAATATCATTTTTTTACCTAAATGAAAACTACAAAATTGAATGAATCTGATAGAGGTCCACCCAAGGTACAGATAAAATATGAGGCTATTTTTTGTTCAAGAAGACCAAATGTTACAAAAATATTAATCAAATCTGATAGAAGTTCATTCAAGGTACATACATATAATATATTAACACATCGCTGTTGGAAAGCCTCCAAGGATTGCTGCCATCAGTTATTTTTGAGGTCAAAAGTATTCAGTAAAAGTAGGGAACTAAGGTTATGGTCGAAATGAACAAATCTGAGAGGTTCACTCAAGGTACGGTACATACATATAAAATATCCAACCAATAGACTAGTTTCAGGTTCCCTGGTTGCTTAGTTACCATGTATGTAAAAAGGAGGTTGAATCGATGCATGTAAAAGCATGTACAACTTACAGAAAACTGAAGCAAGCAGGCTCAAGGACTACTACTGTAAAATCAACCACCCTTTCTGCCTGAGTGCATTCAGTAACATTTCAACCATGAAACAAGCCAGGGAACTCAAAACTAGTCTATTGGGCTTACCTTTCTTTAAATATGAAAAACGATCCAAACTGGGCAAGTGTTGTGCTTGAAAAAACAGCAAGTACCTCAAATCGCTCATATCTAAAGAGATCAAATAGAGCCTTGGTGAGTCAACCAATCCATAGCTACATTGACACGAGTTCAGGTTAAAGGATGCATCTCAAAACGATGGCATTACGTGAAATGGCAAACATCACTTAGTATGGTCATTCATACAAAATATTTGAAATCAGAAATAACAATAACTGACATTTTACTTTTACTTTAGTTTTGTATGTATTGTACTTTATTACTAACATTTTATTGCTGTTCAACCAATGGAAATTATTTCTAAGGATGCAATAAATTCATTATTATTATTATATACTACTTTCCCAATCTATGGAATACATAAAATGTACTACTTTCGCAGTCAATAAAATACACAGTATTCACCCAACTAGTCCACAGAATATATACTACTCATTCAGACTATGGAATATATACTATCTATATTTTCAGTCAATGGAAAAAATACTACTTTCCCCGTCCATGGAATACATACAAATACTATACCTAAAAGACTTACCCAAATGAAAATATTGGTGATGGTTTTTGTCTATTTACCCATATTGTAATTAGACATGTAATAAGACTCATCATATCAAATATAGTGAGGTATGTATAGGCTGTCAAAGCTGTAATGCAAAAATATATAGATGACCTTTATATAAGGAAACAATATCGTGTTAAACCAGTTACATGTGTCACCTGAAGACATATTCATTAGATGAGTTTATTACTAGGTATGGAGGCTGTCTATAAGTTGCCATTGTTCACCATCATGTTGCCATGAATATCTCACTGGTAACCACAGCAACGATCACAACACATCATACCCGGGACAACTTTAATCTTTTACACACAACCTAAACAATACAAATAGATTGCTATATTTCCTTTTTATTTATAGCCTAAACTCACCAGAAGCTTTCAGTTGTGTAATTTTTAATTTCTGATCGCATAAACTTGTATCACAAGTATTAAAAGAAACAAGAGTACCTATTTTATTTAATTAATGTCCATATTATGCATAACTTGGATGTTTTTTTTTAGCAGATTTGTGTACTGTCTACAAGGACTCATCGGTGTAGTCAGTCACAGTCACATGTAAAGAAGTCTATACTAATATACTTACCCATACTGTCAGTGTATTGGCACCAAAATAATAAAATACAAGTAATCAGAAAATTTACAACTAAAAAGAAAGATATTTTTCGTGCCTGAAATAAAACAAAACAAAAAAAAGTGAAAGACTATTATTATTTATTAATAATTCAAAACAGGAATATGAATATCTAGAATTCACAACATTTTAAAATGCAAACCAATCATTTTACAAGATTAAATAATTCAGAGTTTTCTTGTTCTTGATAGTGATCAGTTAGATATACAATTTCATCCCATCAGTAAAATATTCACATACAATGCCTGCTGAGCTCTCTGACACTATTGAATAGAACTACAATTGATTGACATGTATACATGTTGGATTGCTTTCAAGCATTGCCAGCAAAAATCATTGCATACCCTTATATTATAAATCTTTGTTAGAACATATGTTAAAAATTAATATCATATATTTATATACATGATATTGAAAGATGTGTATGGTATATGTCACCATTTATAGAACTTGGTAGCATGCATTATAAAATGTGTATAATATTCTATAATAATATTCTAATTCTATAATATATTTTAATTCTATTCTATAATAATATTCTAATTCTATTCTATAATAATATTCTAATTCTATTCTATAATATATTCTATAATACCTGGCTTTCTTGAAGAATTGCACCAAACTCGTATTTGAATCTCTTAAGGAATGAGGGACGGGTTTTAGTAAATGGATGAATTGTACCACTGAATTCTTTCAGTTTATAATCTGCATCTTCCTGATCAAACATATTCCGATGTCTTAAATCTAAAAAAAAAAGTGAATAAATAGTGCAAATAATTACTAAGAATAAATATGAAATGTGTGAATGGTGTAGAGAGTCTTAAAGAAGTCTTTCATTATTGTTCTCCAAATACACACATACTGTATACTGTAAACTGGCAGGGTTTGAAGATATTGACATATGGAACGAACGGGGGAGCCATAAAATACAACATAGCAACGTCACATCAACTTACATCCACGGTGTGTGAAAATGATTTGAGGTCACGCGTATTCAGCGGACGTACCTACATATACACGCGAGAATAACACAGCTGTCACAATATCTAACGTGTAAATCTGTACTGTGCACTCTCAAGTCAAACTGATGAGACACTCACCTCCGGTTGCGAATATATCCATTGAATTATCGTGAGCGTCAATCAATTCAATGGTGGTTTTATCTGGCCTTTTACTGCCACTTAAATTTTTCACCGGGTGCATATTTTCTGTGACTTTGTTCAAAGTAACCGAATTGCTGTTTTTCGACCTGAAATATCTATCATCAGTCAGTTGCAACGTGGAGTTCACATTTGAAGAAAGAGAAGACGCCATTTTACTGATTTTAAGCAATACTTCAATAAAGTATTCGGTGATTGGTTATATGTTTACGTAGCGCTAGTATCTAACCAATCACCACTGTTGTTGGATATTGTCGAAGCAGGAAGTTGATTTCTACTGTAACTGTGAGGGCGATAGCACCTTTAGGGTTGGGATGAGGGACACATCGTTGTGCAGGTAAGATATAAACGTTTACTTGTAAAATAATTGCATATTAAATGCGTGATTTAATTATGAGCATATCCTACAGCCTGTTAGACTGTATATAAATTAGGCAGGGAGCTAATATAAATTATTTGGTAAAAATAATTCTTTCGTACATGCACGTAGAGTTAAATTTCTGGTATAAGACTTTTTCCAGAGACATTTTAACATATATTGAGATTTTAAATGAAAAAAAAAAATACATTGAATTGTTCTAATTTGCTAAATTAGCATAATTCACACAGTTTTGTTCCGTTGATTCATAGTTGATGCATTTTAAAATTGTCACCACCTCAAACAGATAATGAATATTCTAAGTGTACAAATTTGTTTGGATACTTAAAGAGGGAGGGTCGTCACCTGCGCACGTGCAGGAATTGAGTCCAAAGCAATGATAACAACACACGCTAAAACGCAAAGGCTCATGGGTAGACGCTTGTTTGTAAACAATGACACTCGATGACCATCTGAGGCATGCGCAGGTGAGGACTCCCTCGCTTTAATGTACGAGACATTACTGAATTCAAAAACATTATTTTGATGACATTAAATACCCTGATGTTTAGTAAATCTCATGCTTGATACTGGTTCTAGTATATTGCCATTTCTAAAGTATTTTTATTGTATTTTAATTCTCATTAAAATAGATTGCAAATGAGTACAGTTTATATTTTAGTCATCAAACATAAACAAAAAAACTTCGAAAATATATTAGGTGTCGTATTTCATTGGTTCAGAATGGCAGATATAACTAATGGTCATGTACATGTACAAACAATGGGTCATGTACAAGTTCTGCATTCATCTCCAAGTTCTGCATTCATCTCTCATATTGCCTTGGGTCAAACATATAACATTGAGGGCAGCTAACAATAATTGAGGACATCCAAAGCAGGAATGGATATAGACAATGACTTTCTGGTCTAGCTCTTTTTTCAAAGAAATATGCCAGTCCAAAGATATATATATATTGGGTGAAAGGTGCTAAAATATTACATTTGCACAACACTTTGAAAGAAGATGAAACTAAAGATAATATTAACATAATGATTTGAAATATTAATTACAGATTATTAAGTGTTAAAACTGTATACAAGTAAATACAGAAAGCCTGCTTATAAGCAGATATTTATTTACCATAATAGTCATTGACAAGAGTTTATTGACAGGGCACTTTTACCTTTTCTTCTCTACCCTTGAATAGTACTATGATATTCATAGTTGTAAATTGCCAAAAAATGGATGGGTTTTGATCTGAAACAGTGCAATATGCACGTTGCCTGTATTCTGATT